TGTACATGCGTCACAATATTTACATGTCAATGAATGCCGGAATGGATAAATCTTACTCAGAGAAGATTAATCAACAAAAACATGAATTGGTAATAACTTAATAACCTAATAATAAGACCACACTCCTCCCCCCCCACCCCACCCCCTCCCCCTCAAAAAAAAAAAAAAAAAAACTGCTAAAATGAAAACCAATATGAACTTACTTCCAAAGCGGAATATTGAAAAGATCGATGCGTTACGGAATCGCAAAGAGGTGAATATTCTATAGGCCTAATATTAATAGGCCTGGGAATACACGCCAGGATGAAGGGGGGAAGATTCTATATCAAAGGTAGATAATATGCACCCAAAGCGAATATGATAAAGGAGGGAGATGGCAGGTAGAAGAAGTTTGGGTTAGTTATTATGGTTCTATAACACGAGAGAATGCATAATCCGCCTCAGAAGATAGACTGAGGGATACGTGAATAAAAGGAGGAATTGGAGGAATATGAAAAAAAAACATTCCAGGAGTGAAGAAAAAAAATGATGAAAGATGAATAAAAGAAATGAAACATGGTAAATAGCATTAAAGGATAGCGAGAGAAAAGTTAAGAAGACGGGAAATGAATCAGTGAAAACTAGACAGAAAAAGGAAGTTTGGTAAAGGTCATAAAAGAGAAGTTAAATAAATGCCTGATTTATAACAGAAAGAGAAATAAAGATAAATAAAATATAATCGCTTTCGTAAGTGAAGAATCAAATAAACAATGAAAGAAAGTCAAAAGAAGAAATAGATATAGATTATAATAAATAAATACATAAATAAATAAATAATAAAGATAAGATATAATCGCTTTCGTAAGTGAAGAATCAAATAAACAATGAAAGAAAGTCAAAAGAAAAGAAGATAAATAAATAAATACAAATTATAATAAATAAATATAAATAAATAAATAAATAAAGATAAGATATAATCGCTTTCGTAAGTGAAGAATCAAATAAACAATGAAAGAAAGTCAAAAGAAAAGAAGATAAATAAATAAATATAAATTATGATAAATAGATATAAATAAATAAATAAAGATAACATATAATCGCTTTCGCAAGAGAAGAATCAAATAAACAATGAAAGTCAAAAGAAAAGAAGATAAATAAATAAATACAAATTAAAATAAATAAATATAAATAAATAATAAGAAAGATAAGAAATAATCGCTTTCGTAAGTGAAGAATCAAATAAACAATGAAAGAAAGTCAAAAGAAAAGAAGATAAATAAATAATACAAAATATAATAAATAAATAAATAATAAATAATAAAGATAAGAAATAATCGCTTTCGTAAGTGAAGAATCAAAATAAACATGAAAGAAAGTCAAAAGAAAGAAATAGATAAATAAATATAAATAAATAAATAAATATAAATAAAAAAGATAACATATAATCGCTTTCGTAAGTGAAGAATCAATAAACAATGAAAGAAAGAAAGTCAAAAGAAAAGAAAATAAATAAATAAATAAATAATAAATAAATATAAATAAATAAATAAAGATAAGATATAATCGCTTTCGTAAGTGAAGAATCAAATAAACAATGAAAGAAAGTCAAAAGAAAAGAAGATAAATAAATAAATATAAATTATGATAAATAAATATAAATAAATAAATAAAGATAAACAAGATATAATCGCTTTCGTAAGTAAAGTATCAAATAGAAAATGAAATAAAGTCAAAAGAAAAGAAGATAAATAAATAGATATAATCATAATAAATAAATATAAATAAATAAATAAATAAAGATAAGATATAATCGTTCTCGTAAGTGAAGAATCAAATAAACAATGAAAGAAAGTCAAAAGAAAAGAAGATAAATAAATAAATATAAATTATAATAAATAAATATAAATAAATAAATAAATAAAACAAGATATAATCGCTTTCGTAAGTGAAGAATCAAATAAACAATGAAAGAAAGTCAAAAGAAAAGAAGATAAATAAATAAATACAAATTATAATAAATAAATATAAATAAATAGATAAATAAAGATAAGATAATCAAATAAATATAAATAAATAAATAAAGATAAGATATAATCAAATAAATATAAATAAATAAATAAAGATAAGATATAATCACTTTCGTAAGTGAAGAATCAAAATAAACAATGAAAGAAAGTAAAAAAGAAGATAAATAAATAGATATAAATCATAATAAATAAATATAAACAAATAAATAAATAAAGATAAACAAGATATAATCGCTCTCGTAAGTGAAGAATCAAATAAACAATGAAAGAAAGTCAAAAGAAAAGAAGATAAATAAATAAATACAAATCATAATAAATAAATAAAAAAATAATAAAGATAAGATATAATCGCTTTCGTAAGTGAAGAATCAGATAAACAATGAAAGAAAGTCAAAAGGAAAGAAGATAAATAAATAAAATACAAATGATAATAAATAAAAGATAAATAAATAAATAAATAAAGATAAGATATAATTTCCGTAAGTGAAGAATCAATAAACAATGAAAGAAAGTCAAAAGAAAAGAAGATAAATAAAATAAATATAAATTATAATAAATAAAGATAAATAAATAAATAAATAAAGATAAGATGTAATCGCTTTCGTAAGTGAAGAAACAAACAAACAATGAAAGAAAATCAAAGGAAAAGAAGATAAATAAATAAGTACAAATTATGATAAATATAAATTATAATAAATAAATATAAATAAATAGATAAATAAAGATAAGATATAATCGCTTTCGTAAGTGAAGAATCAAAATAAAAGTGAAAGAAAGTCAAAAGAAAAGAAGATAAATAAATAGATACAAATTAAATAAATAAAAATAAATAGATAAATAAAGATAAGATATAATCGCTCTCGTAAGTGAAGAATCAAATGAAAAAAATGAAAGAAAGTCAAAAGAAGAGAAGATAAATAAATAAATACAAATGATAATAAATAAACATAAATAAATAAAGATAACATATAATCGCTTTCGTAAGTGAAGAATCAAATAAACAATGAAAGCAAGTCAAGAGAAAAGAAAAGAGAGAATAATTCGATAAAAAAAAAATGTCTTGTTCTGTCCTCGATTCCCTCTCGAGGAAAGCAAGACATTATTCGGACAAAGATGATCAAAAGTTAAGCAGCGAGTGGCTTTGGGAATCATTCGAAGGGGTGTAGATCTCGTATGCAGATTCTTTCTCTCGCCTTCGCTTCTGTGGTCTTATCTCTCTCTCTTTCTTTCTTTCTTTCTCTCTCTCAGTCGCTCGGTTTTTCTGTCTCTCTTTCTTTCTTTCTCTCAGTCGCTCGGTTTTTCTGTCTTTCTTTCTTTCTTTCTTTCTCTCGCTCGCTCTTTAGTTCGTTCGCTCTCTCTCTCTTCTCTCGCTCGTTCGCTCTCTAGTTTCGTTCGCTCTCTCTTCTCTTTCTTTCTCTCGCTCGCTCGTTCGTCTCTCTCCTCTCTCCTCCTCCTCTTCCTTCCTCCCTCCTCCTCCTTCCTCTTCCTCTTCCTCTTCTTCTTCTTCTTCTTCTTCTTCTTCTTCTTTTTCCTCCTCCTCTCTCACTCTCTTTCTCTCTCTCTCTCTCCTCTCTCTCCCTCCCTTTCTCTCTGTCCTCTCTCCCTCCCTCCCATATGAATAAAAGAATAAGTAGATAAAGCTATATTTATCCTTACGACATGCATACTTGCAATGAAAGAGCAAGATAAAAAAATATAAAACATCACAATATTTCTTCATGAATTTCTCAGATCCTGATCTTCAGGTGATTTGGCTGACACAGATCATTATAACCCACAAACAAAGAAAACAAAAAAGCAGAAAAAAACAGCCATAGAGGAAATTAAGAGAAAAAGGTAATAGGTAAACAAAAATCACAACATTCGTTATTCATATCAAATGGAGGATAAATAATGTCATGGACGTTTCTGAAAATAGCAAAGATATTAGATTCTTTCTTGATGTTGCTTCGATAAAAATGTGTAATGAGTGTCTGTTTTTGTGTTCATTGTGAAATTTGATATTTGCAATACATATCTGTTTTACAATACAATTTTGCAAAAGGCATTATTCAGTATCTTTTCTACTTCATAATTACAGATGGAACATTATCTTCTTGCAGTAATTAGAAATGTACAGTTGGGATAGATAAACAGACTAATAAAATAGATAAAAATAACTTTATTCCCATCAATCGTACTTGATACTTACGAACACCATAGAGCAATCATATCAAAAGCGCCTTTTTTATTTAATTAAAAAAGTTGTTGTAATATCCTGCATGAAATGGGAATAAAAGATCCGATAAAACTCAGAGGGATTGCATTTATACGTAAGCCTTGACTGTTAGTATTTAAGCATGTTTTGCATGTGCTTAAACGGTACAGTGAACATACATCTGTGTGTGTGTGTGTGTGCATATATATACATACATACATATATATATATATATATATATATATATATATATATATATATATATATATAATATATATTATATATATATATATATATAGATATATATATATATATATATATATATATATATATATATATATATATATATATATATATATATATATATATATATATATATATATATATATATATATATATATATATATATATATATATATATATATATATATTATATATATATAATATATATATATATATATATATATATATATATATTATGTATACATTAAACACACGCACATGTATGTTCGCTTACATACATACAGACATATATGTGTGCGTGTGTGTGTGTGTGTGTGTGTGTGTGTGTGTGTGTGTGTGTGTGTGTGTGTGTGTGTGTGTGTGTGTGTGTGTGTGTGTGTGTGTGCATATATATAAATACATACATACACATATATATACATAAACATACGTAGGTATATGCACAGGTACACATCGGCAGTACCTGGGTAGATGACAATGACACATTGACCGTGCAATATCTCAATTAACGCCAAAGTCACCGCCAAAAGAGAACGCAATATTCCACATTCCAGTCCGATACCTAGAAATATAATATTCCCAGATTCCATTCTTCAGGTCCCATTCCCGGCCCCCATTCCAGCCCCCCCCATTCCCAGATTCTATTCTCAGGTCCCCATTCCCAGATTCATTCCCAGGTCCCATTCCCAGATCCCATTCCCGGTCCCCCATTCCCCATTTTCAAGTCCCATTCCCGGCCCCCCATTCCTAGATACCATTCCCACCCCCATTTCCAGATCCCATTCCGGACCCCCCATTCCAGATCCCATTCCCGGCACCCCATTCCCAGATCCCATTTTTCCCCCCCACCATTCCCAGATCCCATTCCCCCCCCCAATTCCCAGATTCCCATTCCCGCCCCCCATTCCCAGATTCCAATTCCCGCCCCCTCCCCCATTCCCAGATCCCCATTCCAGCCCCCTATTCCCAGATCCCATTCCCACCCCCACCCACCCATTCCCAGATCCCATTCCCGCCTCCCCCCATTCCCAGATCCCATTCCCGCCCCACCGCCCATTCCCGGATCCCCCATTCCCCATCCCATCCCCAGCCCCCCACCCATTCCCAGATCCCATTCCTAGCGGTACCGCCCTTGGGATTCCCGTCCGAAGACGCGTTCCGATCGGTGTCTCTGGAACGGCCACAAAATCTCGCCTCTTGGGACACTCTGATTGGTCGAAATTGAGTTACAACTGACGAATCAGAAAGCTAGAAAAATCTGGTTGATTCTGGGGTTGATTGGGGGGGGAGGGGAGGGGGGAGGGGGGAGAGGGGAGGGACGGGCAAGGGCGTAAGGTAAATAAATAAATAAGAGATAGATAGAGGCGTGTAGATAGATTGTGAGATGGGTGGATAGGTAATGGTATGTGCGGATAGATAGATTTGATGATTTAGGTTGATGGGATGAATTAGATGGATGGATAGATAAAGATGGATACTTAAATTTAGTTATACAGATAGACACATTACGATAGAGAGAAAAAAAAACACAAATGCCTTAAAAGAAGACAAAAAACAAGAAAAAACACATGAAAAGAAGTCATTTCGACAAATAAAATGATATCCAGAAAGAAAGAAAAAAACTATGCAGGTCAATAAACGAACAACAGATAAACAAATAAACATAAAACAGACAAGAACAGACACAGATAATAAACAAGCCTCAAAATCTCTCTCTTATATCTCTACCTACATCACTTTTCTTCGACGATACAACATACAACCGAACAAATAAACTAACAACTAAACGTAAAACAGACAAGAACAGACACAGATAATAAACAAGCTTCAAAATCTCTCTCTTATATATCTACCTACATCACCTTTCTTCGACGATACAACATACAACCGTCGATTCAACTTACCTACAACATCCTCCTCCTGCTTGTATTATCATTCAACTACGGTGTTATCGGCGTGTTATCCTCACCTGCTGCATAAAAATGACATGCTCGTTAATTCGGTTTCGTCACGCCATCTGTGGAGGAATGGAGGGCGGAACACCTGATAGATAGATAGCCGATAGATAGGGCCTTCGGTAAGAGATAAAATAAAGAAAAACGATGAAGTATATATCTAAAGTATATATCATTATAAAGTATATATGTGTGTGTGTGTGCGCGTGCGTGTGTGTGTGTGTGTGTGTGTGTGTGTGTGTGTGTGTGTGTGTGTGTGTGTGTGTGTGTGTGTGTGTGTGTGTGTTTAAATGAAATCAATTTTTCAATTTGGAAGAGTTAGATTGAGATAAGTAAATATCTTTTTGACTGTTTATTAATACTACCATTTGTCCGATATACCAGACTTTTTGTTAGTGAAATATATAGTTATTCTTTCAAAATATGTTCGTGAAATATAGAAAATGTTGACCATTGTAGTAGAAAAACACGGGCTATCCTTAGAGCTCTTGCGGACTTTCTCGCGACGAGTAACACTTTCCACAGAAATCCTTGGAAATAAGAAACTAAATAAAAGTAATTCATCATCCAAAACATAGTATGTGCAAAGGTTAGAATTAATAACTATTAGTTACTTATCAAATAGCAAACGAAGCCTAATTTCAAACATCGTGATCAGAATGAATTTTCTTTCCATGATATTTAAGAGAATTTTATACAATTCCAGAATCTCAATGTCTTGGTTTGGAAATAAGGAATATGTATAACATACTCCCTCAAGGTTCAAAGTGACGTCACTCAGTCATATCCTGTAATTAACTTTTACGAGCCTGTTCACATTATCAAAGAAGTAATATGCACGGAAGGTCAGATCAAAGACTATCAGTTACTCATAAAATGGTAAAATAAAACATAACATCGAATAAGTAAGAATAAATGATTAGTTAAGAACGCATGTGCGAAACCATGGCAAGACGCTTAAAGTAGAGTGACCAACAAATAACAACAAATAACACTCTACAAAAAATTAGCCCCATTAACACACCCTTGTGGATGGCAATTAAAACGACTTCTGCGGATCTGAAGAATCTCGGTTTTGACATGGACGACCTCCTCTCTGGCTTGCTCTTTCTAGAAGACTTCGGTTCTCTGTTGATAAGACGTTGGAAGTGTATCCGTTGTTGAGTCCACGTCGGTGTCTCCAGCGATGATTCGTGTAATATTCTAAGATCATTGGTGACTCCTTTTAATTCTCCTAGATAGACTTTATCGATTCATGCAATATTCTAAGATTATTGGTGACTCCTTTTAATTCTCCTTGATAAACTTTATCGGCATTCGTTATGGAAACAAAATGGCGTTTGACGTTGAAAGTGTATCCGTTGTTGAGTCCACGTCGGTGTCTCCAGCGATGATTCATGTAATCTTCTAAGATCATTAGTGACTCCTTTTAATTCTCTTTGATAAACTTTATCGGCATTCGTTGATAAAACAAAACGACATTTGGTTTCCGTGGAGGTCTTAGAGATAAGCGACCTTGATATTGATAATTGATAATTTCGTTGATTCCAGATATATGATAAGGATGTGCTCTCGACTCCTTAACCCGAATTATTTTAATTGACAATTAAAAATATATATATATGGCATAAATTTCTTGAGCAGACAAACAATAATCACTTTATTACCAATTTCATTTAAATGATTTATTTCTCCTCAATAAAAAAGAACAAACAATAGACATATCAATGTATGCAAGAAACAAATATGTATTGATTGACCTTTATCTAAAATGAGTCGTCATTCTTATCAACATTTAATTATTCTCGTTTTCTTCTTGTTTTTTACTCCTTTGTCTTTCTCTTCCTATTCTCTATCTTCAAATTTCTTGTTATTTCACCTCAATCCCTTTCTTTACTTTATATTTTTATTTTCTAACGATCTAGACTTTCTTTTATCATCTTTCTCTTTGTCTTATTCCAATTTTCTTCTTCTCTCTCTCTCTTTTTTCTTTCGTAAACAAAATATACTTACCTTTTCCCCTTCCTTTCTTTTTTGTCTTAAATAACAATGATAACGACTATAATGATGATAATAGTGATGATAAAACAATAAAAAATGATGATTATTACAATGATAATACAATTATAATAGTGATAGTAATAATGATAATGTAATGATAATGACGAAGGTAATAACACCAATAAAAAAAAAATGATATGATAGTAATAACAATAGTAACGATAATGATATAACAAAAATTATGATAACAATAAATGTTAACTAATAATAATAATAATGATAACAATAATAATAATAGCAATAATAATAATAATAATAATAATAATAATAATAATAATAATAATAATAATAATAATAATAATAATAATAATAATAATAATAATAATAATAATGATAATGATAATAATGATAATTATAATAATCATAATAATGGTAATAATACAATTGATGATATTGATAAAGATAACAATGATCATAATAAAAATAATAGTAATGAAACCGATAATAATGATGGTAATGCTAATGATGATGATAAATGTTGATAACAATAATAATGATAATAATTATAATAACAATTATTAAAATAGTAATAACAATAATGATAATTGTTAGTAGCATCATTATCATTGTTGTTGTTGCTTTTATTACTTTTATGCTCATTACTAATATTAATGTTATCATTACTATTATCATTATTATTACGATTATCATTATGACCTTTGTTATCATTATTATAATTTCAAAGTTGATAGTAATGATAATAACAATAACAATGATAAAAGTAATAATAACATGAATAACACTGATGATAGTAATGATGATAATAATAATGATATAATGATAATGATGACTTTTATATTAATAATAATGCTAATGATAATAACAGTACTAATGTTTACAACAACAATAATATCAGTGATGATAATTATAAAGATGAGAAGGAAGAGGATAATGATAATAATGGTAATGATGATAATAATAACTGTAATGATAATAATATGATTTATAAAAGCAGTTCATATCATAGCACTAATAACAATACTAAGGCTAATACTATTACAAATGTTAACAATATTTATTTTTTTACTATTTTTTTATCATGACAATTGTTGCAAAATGATAGTGCTAGCAGCTTGATGCAATACAAAAAACAAAACAAAAAACATTAAAACAGAAGTAACATAATGATTACTACTATTATTTATCATTATCATTATCAATATTAATATTATTATTATCATTTCTATTATCATAATTATCATCACTGTAATAATAATAATGACTAAAATAATTATAGAATTGTTGTAATAATGATAATAAAACTGAATGATAATAACAACAATAACAGTGATAATGCTGGTGATTCTGATGACGCTAATAACAATGATATATATATATATATATATATATATATATATATATATATATATATATATATATATATATATATATATATATATATATATATATATATATATATATATATATATATATATATATATATATATATATATATATATATATATATATATATATATATATATATATATATATATATATATATATATATATATATATATATATATATATATATATATATATATATATATATATATATATATATATATATATATTTATTTATTTATATATATATATATATATATATATATATATATATATATATATATATATATATATATATATATATATATATATATATATATATATATATATTATATATATTATATATATATATATATATATATGTATATTTGATTAGATTACCGCATGAAGTTAGAATAGAATCTGTTAATTAATTAGACGTGTTTCAATTACGTGAAGTTGTCTTGGTTAGGTCAAGTTAGATCAAGTTAGGAGAGCATAAGCACACACGAGTGGAAATCACTTAAGTCTGAAAGCAGAGGGGATCAGCATGTGAAAATCGCCTTTAAGCGCGAAAGGAGATAGGGATATTTTTATAAGTCTCCTCTATCCTAAGTGTGATTGCAATGGCTGTGAGTGCGGGAGGAGGTGTAAACAATAACGGAGAGTGTTATAGCTCTTATCTTGTGTTATCTTATTCTGTTTTTCTTATCAAGATCTCTTTCCCTCTTCCTATCTTTTAAATAAATATCTGTCTCTCTCTTTTCAATTTCCACGTATGTCTCTTTCTGTTTTTTTTTTTTAAGGTCTCTTTCCCTCTTCCTTCTTTTAAATAAATATCTGTCCTCTCTTTTTTTTCAATTTCTACGTATGTCTTTTTCTGTTTTTCTTATTAAG